TAGTATCTGCTTCCCTCGCCAGCTGCGAGCAGGCCAGCCAATCTGGGACCAGGTGCGATGGTCGGAATGCCGGCGAGGCCTGGCCCTAGACCTCAATCTCCTAATATGCCCTTAATCCTATTGATATTACTGAATTCTACTTATACTTTGGCTAAGAAAACCTAGGACCTCGAATATCTCAGGGAATTCACTCTCTACCTTGCTCCTAGGCTACCGCAACTTGTGGTCAATGTAGTGTCTACGCACTACACCCCCCCCTCTGCCGAATTTAAACTCTCCCGTAAGCAGAAATACTGATTCCTATTCCTGGTTATTCTCTAGACTGGACTTCTCTATCCACTCCATTACGAAACTGCTTCGTACTCCCTGACAGCGAGGGCCATGAATTGCCTGTGAAGAACTCCCCTTCAGAAATGCCAGTCTAAGGGGAGTTCGCGGCCTCAGGGATCATGTGGCCCTCAGAACCTGATCCCACTCACGTCAGTAGATGCACTAGTCCCGGCCAGCAGCTCTGCGTCTTGTGCCCCGAACGACAACACAAATGCAGATGAAAAACACAATTGTGAGGCGTAGAAGGGATCCAAGTTCCCTCACACGATGGGGTGATGGGGTTCCATAACACTCTAGGTACTGGCCCTGTAAGCTAATGAGAAGTGGGGGAGAGCCCTCAGTTCCCTCATGCAATTGCTGAGATCTGGTCAAGATAACTTAGAGTATTTCTCTTTTGTACAAATATTCGCAGTAAGCTATACGTATTACTCGGTTGTATCTCTGAAGGGTGACTGTGGAGCGCATCCCTGGAACCCCACGGCTGAGTATAGCGAGCTGGCAAGTCATATCTATCATACTGAGCAAACATATCAGACTAACAAAGGTTAAAGAAATAAGTTCTCTCAGTTTATTCTCTCTCTGAAAATTTTTCTCTCTCAACCCCAGTAGAGCAGCCACTGCGGCATTTGGGGCTGGGAGAGGAGACGGCGTAGCCTTATGCAAATAGCCTTTGCACCAAGGCACAAGCCACCCTCTCCTATAACCATACCAATGGTCACTCCATAAAGAATGCTTAATGNCACGGCATTGCTGCCGTGATTGTAGGGAGCATTCACTACATTGCCCTTGCTGTAATCGATAAAGCATAATTAACGACGGACTTTATCAACTACTCCAATATGTATTCTAATTACTAAACTATAATTAATACTATTTTATACGAACTACTATCTATTAAATATCTACTACTACTACCTTAGCGCCTGCTCCCGCTGCTGTCAGTGCTCTGAGGCACCCGGCGAAAGCAAAGCTCCAATTCGAATGCCTCGCACCGGCAGCCGGCAGCCGTCGCCTTGAAGAACCTCCACCCATCACTATGAATTTATCGCCTTCTTGTTTATCATTCTACTTTCCCGTTATTTGTTTCTTCATTTGTTCTCTTATCTGTTTTGACCTTTGGTTACCTGACACCTCCTTTCTGGTATCAGGTGTCTCAACACCCTCTCCCCTTTTCCGAGCAAAAGCTGTTCGCCACCTCGTTTATTCCTCTACGTCTTCATTTCCTTCTCCGCCTGCTCTCCTCTCCGTTTGGCTTTGATCTTCATTCTTCTTCATCTTCATTCCTCACTTCGCCTGCTCTCCTCTCCGTTTCACTTGAGTCCTGTATGTGTTGACGTCTGCGTCTCTTTCCGGCACGGAGCAGGGCAGGACAGCCGTGGAGATGGTGTGCTGGTTCCCACGTGGCCCGTTCTCCTGGGGCGCCTCGCCACTTGACCAGGTAACGAGCCGAATCCCCTGGACCCTGCTGGTCCATAATGTAGTCCACGAGGAATTGGTCCGTACGATTGCCTGCAGCATCACATACTGGTGGCCACCCTGCTTGGGCATCCTGTGGTGCTTGTGCCGCAGATCTTGGGCGATGGGGAACCAGTTGCGATACATGGAAGACGTTGTGCCCTGTATAAGTCCTGGGTAGGGCAATACGATAAGCCACCTCTCGGATACGCTCCAGGGCCGAAAAGGGACCCTGGTACCGTGGTTCAAATTNCCATGCTTGATCCCCAACCTTATATTCCAGGGGACGAAGTCCAGCATCTGCGTAATATTTCTGCCTCCATTTTGCTTTCAGGATGTGGGCCCGAGCCCGATCACAAAGCCGCTTCAAGAGCTTAGTCATGGGAGGAGAAAGAGTCGGTGGTAAAGATCCTACTATATCCAGGTCAGCTGCGGTGACCGGATTCTCCCCAATCATCACTTCGAAGGGGGATAGCTCGGTGGAGGAGTGGGGAGTGTTGTTGTACGCCAACTCGAGAGCGGGAAGAAGATTTTCCCATTCCTGTTCATCTGTCTGTATGTATGTCCTCAACATTTGTTCCAGGGTTGGATTCACCCGCTCGGTCTGCCCGTCCGTTTGTGGATGGTATGGGGAGGACATCGCCCGGCGAATGTTGAAACGCGAGCAAAGAGCCTCCCAGACCTCGGAGGTAAAACGTGGGTCCCTGTCGGAGATCAGGGTATCCGGGAAACCGTGATATCTGATTAAGCGATCAGCCAAGAGCACCACCATGTCCGCTGCGGAGACTGTCTTTCGGGTAGGTGCGAAATGTGCCATCTTGCTCAGAGAGTCCACAAACACCAAGACGGTGTCATTTCCTGTGATTGTGCGTGGCAGGTCTGTGATGAAATCTAAACTCACATGACTCCACCTCCGCGTGGGGATAAGAAGCTGCTGTAGAAGGCCAGCAGGCTTCTGGTTCACGGCCTTGGAAGCGCGACACTGGGTACAAGACTCCACGTAAGTGTTGGTCTACACCCTCATGTCTGGCCAGTAGTAGTGTTTACTTAGTGCTAAGTACTAAGCAAACATTATTATTGGCCAGACATGAGGAAAGTCTTCCTTTGTCCTCGATGTCCTGAAGTCACATGGTCATGAAACCTATACAGGAGGTGAGTTAAGAACTCAGGGAGCTGAGGTACGCAAATCAACCAGATACCGTCGTGACATATTCTCAGGTATGGATGCTGGAAGCGTGAACCATAGCGACGTTGTCGGAGCTCCACATGTACGGTTTCTCCTGGAGTTCTGATGGCCGACAAGTAAGGTTCACGGAAAACGGGACACTTGTTGTAGGCGGACGGCCAGTTGTCTTGGGCAGTGACAAGAGCCAGTGGCAGTCCGGCAGGATGTTGGTCAGGGAATACGGCTCTGTACTCCCTCAACACTTCTAGGATGGCGTGAGGTGTTCCCTCCGCCGCTGTCGATTTTGTCCACTCATCAAAACGAGTGTGTTCGAGAGCAGTCGGCCAAGGTGATTCATCATTCTTCTCCTCCTGTTGCTCCTCATCTCTGAGTTCTCCGGTCCCTCCGGGTTTGTCAGGGGCCTTGGGGTTTCCCAACAAGGCACAAAACCATGACCCTTGTCCGGTTTCTGTCGAACTTGGTGCCTTGGGTACCTCGCCGGCCGGTATGGGAAGAATGAGAGATAGTCCCTGTACAGGGTGTTACAGCTTAGCCGTGTTCTCTCTAGCCTGTTGCAGTATCGCCTGCTCTTCTGGCATTTCAGCTATATGCCTGGCTAGGAGGTCGTATGTCCGTTCTGCGGGTGTCCTAGGACGGGCTGTAGATCCTCTAATCTGACCGACCCTCTCCTTGTTTATGCGAACAAGTAACAACTTGTTCCACTGCCCCTCCACGAACACGCGCAGTTCATCTGAAGGGAAGGACCAGGCCGCCTTGTGCTCCGCCAACCAGTCAAGACCCATTACCATATTGTACGGTACGGATCCCACTAAGAAATCTCCGGTAAGTTTCACGGCCCGTTACCTGGCCAAGCGGCAAGGCCAAACGGAGAGAAGAGCAGGCGGAGCACGAAATGAAGACGAAGAGGAATAAATGAGGTGGCGAAGAGCTTTTGTTCTGAAAGGCGGAGAGGGTGTTGGCACACCTGATATCGGAAATGAGGTGTCAGGTAACCAATGGTCAAACAGATAAGAGGAGAAGTGAACAGACAAGTAACAGGGAAGTAGAATGACAAACAAGAAATAGATAAATTCGTAGCGATAGATGGGGGTTCTTCGAAGCGATAGCTGCCAGTGCGAAGCATTCGAAGCGGAGCCTTGCTGTCGCCGGCCGCCCCAGAGCACTGACAGCAGCGTGAGCAAGCACCANAAGCATTCGAAGCGGAGCCTTGCTGTCGCCGGCCGCCCCAGAGCACTGACAGCAGCGTGAGCAAGCACCACGGTAGTAGTAGTAGATATTTAATAGATATTTAATAGATTGTAGTTCGTATAGAATAGCAGTAATTCTTGCCTAGTAACTAGAATACCTATTGGAGTAGTTGATGAGGTCGTTCGTTTATTAGGCTCTAGTCGGTCAGAGCAAGGGCAATTCATGGCCCTCGCTGTCAGGAAGTACGAAGCAGCTCCGTAAAGGAGTGGATAGAGAAGTCCAGTCTAGCGAATAACCAGGAATAGGAATCAGTATTTCTGCTTACGGGAGCGTTTAAATTCGGCAGAGGGGGAGGTGTAGTGCGTAGACACTACATTGACCACGAGTTGCGGTAGCCTAGGAGCAAGGTAGAGAGTGAATACCCTGAGATATTCGAGGCCCTAGGTTTTCTTAGCCAAAGTATAAGTAGAATTCAGTAATATTAGTAGAATTATGGGTATATTAGATAGAGGAATTCCTTGTTCCTCTCGAGCTGTGCTTTCGCCTTCAAACTGCTCCCGAAGAGCTACAGTTCTTCGGGTGCACCTAAACCCCAAAGAAGATCAGCATCTTCTTTCTTAAAAGGGGAGGCAACACAATTGTTATTGTATGTATGCAGTGATATCTCTTTTTGGGAGCGCATGCGGAGTATGAACGCCTTCCGGTATGCGCTGCGATGTATATTTATCGCCAGGTGGGAAGGGGAGAGGCTACAACAGAATTAAGAAAGCCTAAACACGAGATGTCGTCGACGGAACGGAACGTTGAGAAGTATCCTTCCTCCGCTAGCAGACGTCTAACGGTAGACCGGGAACTTCCACAACAACAATTCATTGCATGGCTATGATGTGGTCGATAGAAGTAACAGCCGCACCCGCGTAGCCACATCAAGCCACCTCTGTGCTTATCCAAGTTCGCGGTAATGAGTAGAAGCTGCTAGCGCTGCTGGACATGGGTGGCAACGTTAATCTGACAATTAGAGCTACGTCAATCAGGCGCAAACTACCAATTGGTTGTGTCTCTCTCTGCGACTACGTCTCCCGTGTGGAAGACAGTGCAAGAGCATCGGCAAGAGTGTGAGCTAAGATAAAAATCAAGTTCGGAAATGGATCATATTACAATGGCGCGGGACTTTTCACCTCGTTTCGGTTCACTGCGAGTTAATCCCAGGCATGCTGTCGGTGATTCAGTGACGGGGGCAGATACGCAGCCTAGCCAACCCTGTTGATGTCTATATCCGGGCAAGCATATAGAAAGAGCACCACTCAGCGCTCTCAGCACAACTTGCACCCTCTACAATAAGAGGAGTTGAAGCAATGCCCCAAGGAAAAAGGAGCGAGGAGCCACATTAGCAGTCCTGCACCGCTACACGGAGCGGCGGTGAAGTAGTGGTACTCTGCCGTGATGGTCTAACGAAGACAGCAGTTCAGGGGGATTCGATCCATACCCAGTTGACAGGATAAGAACATCACAATGAAAGGAATATTTGTCAGATGCATTAACAACTTGACGCACAACGCGCCGCTTAGAGCTCACTCCTATCTTTATTCCGAGTCGCCGGTAAACCCCGCATCTTGAAGAGGAGATCCAGAGGCAAGCAGATGAACTGCCAGGAAAAAAATAAAACCCTCAACAGGCACGGTTGTACACAATCTAATGCCGGTGAAGAGAAAGGGGAAACGACAGCGCATGTGCGTCAACTTCTAGCTGCTAAACAAAATCACAGTGAAGCAATTGTTTTTCATGTCTCAGATCGGCGAGTCACTTGGCCAATTGCAGCGAAGCCAAATGATGAATTAGACGCTTGCTTCAGCAGCCGCTTCATCATTTTTCTTCCCTGGCACCCTTTTACAGAACCCAAAGCATCACCAAGAAAAGCATAAGACAGCGCTCCAAGTCGGCATTCGAAAGCTACAGCATATGTTTATGCCATTCTGGCGCGTACGTGCACCTGCCGCGCTGCAGCCGCATGCTACTCACGCTTCATTCCGCCGAATGAATGAGGGCTGCTCTGCTGTACGCATGGAGGAGGTGACCGCC